TAACCATAGATGTTATATAATAATCCAGTACTCAACAATGAATAGGAGATCCTGCGACTACAATTTTAACAAAAATACTCAACTTGACTTCACAACTAACTTCCAAGGTTTTACACAAACGAGCACTATTCCAAAATTGACACCACAAAACCTCCCACAAAAAATGCATCCCACAAAATCGACACAAACGAGCACTAATGGTTCTGCAGTGTGGCCTCAAACAAGCATAGTTCATTTATGGATATTTGATATGCGATCGTGTATGAACTACTCGAATTTGAGTTTATTTTTAATTTGCAAGCGATCTGTGTGTGTCTTGAAGCCTTCGTTGCATCGTTCGAGAGTGTCGTAGACGATATTTTTTCCACCGTATCGCTGAAATAAATATTTAACAATGTCACCTATAAGAGAAAAACCAATAGTCATAAATTATAATACCTACAAAATAAAACAAGACTTGGCAACTGACATGCGACATATGCATTCAATAAGAATAGCAAATTATAGATTAAACAGCTCAAAAGAAAAAAAAATTGTGACAAAATCCAAGAGCAAAAGAGCACGATAGGTACGAAAAAACTTGGGGAACAAAAACCTACTGCTTTCATACATTGAAGTTCCAGTATTGGGGTCTACAAGAAATGGGAACCTGCAAAGCCAATGATACATTTCATGAATAGGGTAGAGTTTAGATACACGTGAAAAACTACCCTAATATGAGATTAGTTGCGAAAATGAAGATTAAAAAAAACAAATCTTTCTCTCCCGTTCCTTTTCAATACATTTCATACAAGAGGATAAACCAAAATCCGAGGTTCAATCTCGAGACAGAGAGAAAAGGGCAATCTTGAAAATCAAAATGGAAAAAAACAACACCATTCAGCTGACCTAAATTTCATACAAGAGGATAAAGAACGGATTTTTACAAAAAGAAACATGAATTAATCAGAAAACGGAGGTCAATCAAAATGGAGAAAGCAAAATTCTTGAAAAGGGAGATCTTGAAAATAAAAATTGAGGAAAATCCATTACCTTGAGCGTTTTTTACCACAGTATGTTCTGTTGGGAGCGAGAAAACCAATGTGTCCGAAGCATTTAGTCAAATATTAATACTACAACCAAGACGTGATACTTAAAGCACCTAACTTTTCAATTTCACAATTCATGTCAGACAATCATTTACACTCTTAATCTATGCACAACACATTTTAAGCACAAAACATTTTACTCTCACATGAGTTTCATTTTGACTTCCATTATATATTTATGCACGAATATAATGCACTAACTCACATGAATGTTTACAAATTTTTCAACTAAATTATACATTTTGACTTCCATTATACATTTTGACTTCTATTATTTAATTTTTAACCAAGATTTTATCAAATTTTCAACTAAATTAACACAATGAATGTTTACAGTTTTACTGTTGTAGTTCTGCTTGAAAGAATCAGAATCAATAAGCAGAGAAGTTCTGCTTCTTCGAATTTCTTTTCCTATTTTTCGTTCGAGTTTTACTCGGAAATAGCCACTCGTTCGAACGGTTTTATTCACCAGACATTCTCAGTTAATCAACACAATGTTTCGCTTCTACTTGCAAACATTACCTCTTTCATGCAGACAGATATCTTAGTAGAAGGTTAGCCGTAAAAATTCATAGAAGTAAAAATGATAAAACTAATAATCAGAATTTCTTTAAAAAGTTTACCTTGATTTTTCTATAGAAATTCCTCCTTGATTTCTTACTCCAGCAACGGTACAACTTTTTCCTCCGATCTTCAGAAGCACAGACACGTGACTTTAGGAAGTTCG